ACTAAATGCATTCAATGTCAGTAGAAGTACTAAATCACTGATGTATGAGAAACAGTAGCAGATGTGGAGGTAACCCACTCACATACCCTAGCACAGTGTTTTTCTTTCTTTTTTTTCTTTTTTTGAGACACAGTCTCACTTTGTCATCCCGGACTAGAGTACTATGGTGTCACAGCTCATAGCAACCTCAAACTCTGGGGCTTAAGTGATCCTCTTGCCTCAGCCTCCCGAGTAGCTGGGACTACAGGTGCCCGACAATGTTTTTCAGAGACGGGGTCTCCCTCTGGCTAAGGCTGGTCTCCCACTCTTGAATTGAAGGAATCCACCCATCTCAGCCTCACAAAGTGCTAGGTTCACAGGTGTGAGCCACCTTGCTCACTTTTTCAACTTTTTTTTCTTTTTCTTTCTTTCTTTTTTTTTTTTTTTATCTCACAGCACACTTGAACCTGTAAATTTCTGTGGCACCCTTAAATTATATTGATCAAAAAACAGAATTAAAAAAAAGAACTTACTGTGCTTTGAATGTCTTTCAAAAATAATACAATTAATGGTCTTTAAAAATTTTTACAGCACACCTAAGTTTCTAGAGTACAAGAACCCAATGCCTTCCAGCTGGAAACACTTGAAGCTAGTTATTTGAGGGCTTTCTTTGGCTTTCTCTTGAACTTAGGTTACAATACCACACAAAGTATTTTGGAGTTATTAACACTCCTGCCTTCCTCCCCTCTAGCAGCCCTCTAAGACTGATAGGAATCAATGGAAAAATATTCCAATTTCCTTGGCCCTCGGGTGAAACAACCGTGAAGTGTGTTATCTCCTAGAATTCTCCACAACAGTTAGTATCGCCCACAACAGTAAGGTCTTAACTGGTTTCTTTAATTTCCCTGACTCATTTGCCTACTCCCTTTATGGTAATCCTTAGAATCACCTCTCTGAAGGACATTCTGAGAAAGATTATTGGATGATAGAAGTAAAAGTCAATTATCATGGCTATCTTAAAATGATATGAAATAACAGAGTACTTACCAGGCTTCTGGGATGGGCTAAAGAGCCGGAAGTTGTGCGCCTAAGGCTCTTAAAGTCACACTCCAAGAAAAAGGGTGCCCAGTGAGAACTGATGCTCCAGGTAGTCAAAAAATAAATAATTTCTATATTCCTTCTTCCAAAGTTTGTCCATGTCAAGGCCAGTTATTTTCCAGATAACTTGAATGTGAAGATGAACATTTACTGGCTATCTTGATATTTTTAGGGAGCATGATATGCCTCTAGAAAAATGAAGAATCTAGGTTTTACCCTGATTGCAAAAGTAATACTCTAAGGGTGTTTGACATTGTACAGTGATGAACTTGAAGTCAAAATTAGAATTGTTTTAAAACATGTTTTATGATCATTTTTTAAAAAGAGGTGCTAAAAATGAATAAACAGCGTTACAAGTTAAGCTAATTCTCTTCCCCAATAGATTTACTAACAGATTAGGAGGAAGTTATTCTGTATCCTGACTGCAAGGCCATCACTCCCTTATTTATGATCTTCTGGTAGACAAGATGGATACAGTTGTGTGATTTTCATTCAAACTTCATGGGCAAATTGATATGTATTATCCTAGTCAATTGATATGTATTATGCCTATCAACATTAGTGCTACTGATATCTTGGACAGAATACTTGTTTGTTGGGGCAGGAGCTGTCCTACACACCACATGTTGTTTAGCAGGATCCCTGATCTTTACCCAGGAGCTGGCAATAGCTCTCTCCACCTCAAACATAGAAACAATGTCTCTGTTCAGACGTTACCAAATGTTTCCAGGGTAGCAAAAGTGCTCCTGGTTGAAAGTATTGTTTAGAGAGAACTCTCTCAAGGCATCCCTCAGATATCTTTACTAATAAATGAATTTTCAATTAAATGAATGTAAAAATTTGTCAATGGTGAACATTAAGACATCATGTGAGAGAACCAAGATATGAATATGTCTTGAATGCCCAGTCTTAAAATTCAACATAATAAAATTTCTCATTGTTAAATGTAAAATTCTGCATCTAAATTCCAGTAAGTTCCATAGGTATAAGATAAAGGAGACTAATCTCAGAAAAATGTCTGATAATTTTAGTTGATCATATAGTCCATGTAATTCACAAGTGTTATATGCTTTAAAAGAGAATGAAAAATTAAGTGTCATTATCAGAGAAAAAGTTCAAATCAAGGAAAGTGAAAAATCTGTTGTATTTTGTCTGATCATCAGTTATTGCTATGGTTGCTTTGTGCCACATGTTGTCAGGAACATAGTTTCAGAAGAAGGTTATTAAGATTAAGAGAAATTTAGAATCCATATAATCTGAGTAAAGTCTGAGAGAAACCAGAATGTGAAGACTGGCAAAGAGAAAATCCAGGTAAGTGGTCAGGGAGGAGGTGGTTTGGAAAGGCTATCTTGAGGACAAGAGATATAATCTATTTTGCATTAAAAGAATTAGAACCAACAGGTGGAAGTCATAGAGAGAACAATTATCTCACAAGGAAATAGACTGCCTTCCAAAGTGGTTACCCTTCCTTTAGACATGGCTGAACAATGCCTGGGCTATTATGGAGTGTCATCTGTTCTATATTGGGAGAAATATTAACATGAACCTTTAAAGTATTATTAGTCTACAATTTCATAATTCTACTCTGTTAGTAGCTGCTTAGCACACTTTAATTTTACCCAACAAAGAGGTAACCTTTATTTTAATTTTTGTCTCTTAATGAAATATGAAACTCTATGCAAAACATTTGAGTACATTATGGCTTTTAATCCTCACATTTCTACAGGTTGTCTCATTATCTTGCTTTTACAGCTAAATATACTTAGTCTGATTGAGTGACTGCCCAAAGTCCCATAGGCAGTAATTTTCAAATCTAGGATTTAATCCATCTTGCTCTAAATTTTTTGGTTATGACAGGCCATTACTGAGATCATTTTATTTAACTGCAAAAGCACATTCTTCTAGATGGTAAACATCTGAACTATCACACAGTCTTATTGAATGCAGAAACTTTTTATTTATTGCTAGTTTTTACTGAATTGATACTGTGGCTTTATATTCTACTTTGGTTTCCAAGGGGTTATTCTGTACTCTTAAGCAAGGTTATTCAGTGGCACCTTTTAAATCATGATCATTTCTTTCATGGGGGTGGAATTCAGGTGGGGATATAAGATGCCACCACCTTATTAGGCACGTTCTTCACCCAGAATTGCTATCTCGTTTGGAGAAACAGCGCTCGTTGACAAAGTACTTGCATGAGCACAAGATGTCCTTATCATGGTTGATCTAGAAGCACTCAGCCTCCTTGATATAAGAATTATGAAGAAGTCATCAAAGAGGCTCTATTTGTATAACTCTTGTTGAGCTATTTTCTCATTTGTATTTAAAGAGAACCACATATTTGGTGGTCTATTGTTTTTGTAGTTAATCTAATATCTCAAATATCCACAACCTCCACCTGCTTACAGATGGATGCTTTCGTTAGCTAAGACCTTGCTGCATATGGGATTTGTACAGCTTATCTTCAAGGGGGCAAATCTAATGTTCCCATCCTTGGAGAAGTTTGCCTTTAAATGAATACTAAGTTGGTCAAAACAGTGGAAATTTATGGGATGAACAAAGTGATTTACAGAATTTGGTACTCAATAAATATTGGATGGTTAAATTTACAAAAATGAAATATTAATTTTAGTAAAGATTACATGGTTAGATATTTAAGTATAGGAAAGTTCCTGTGTACACTGTAACGGTATTACACATACTAAAGTTACTGCATGCCATCTCTTGGATGCTTCTTACACTGAACCATTCATCGCCAATATTATTTATAATAAACTTTGTTATATCCAGTATCGATGTAATCTTTTGGGGAATTTTGGAGTTCTTTGAGGATTTTAATAAATTTAATTAAACACTTTTTTTTCTAGAAAAATGCTCATTTACGAATGCTTGAGGGAGAGAGTACTCTGATGGACTCTGGGGAATCTATGTCCCACGCAGGTTGAGAATCTAAGAATGCTTGTTCTGTTCACTGAAAAAAGGCTTTATACAGCCACCATCTTTGAAATGCCTACATTTTTGAGGTTGGCTAAATTATACGCCTTTCAATTTAGATGTTAAGGGAATAAGGATAGTTTTCTGCTTGTGTTTAAAAAAGTCATGAGTATTAATAACTCATGTATTTCAACAATACAGGCTCAAAGCTGATGAAGCATTTATGTTTAAACTTTTTACTATTTAAGAAGAAATGCATTTCTATCAGAAAATTAGTTTCAAAGGCCAGGTTGCTAAAGCAGTTACCCACTATTGGACTAAAACTGCTGGATGGGTCATCTGAGTTCCAAAAGCATTCTGCACTTTACAAAAAAATATATGGAAACAAGTTAGTATGTTCCTTTATACACTTTCTTTTTGTAATGCTTTTCAACTGACGCAACCTGCTCAAACTTTGATACGTTTTCTCAAAGCTCTTATGAAAAATAATAGTATTACCAGCAGGCACCTTTAATTTGCACTCAGTTGTGCTAGCTACATTCTTATCCTTCTCACCCTGTGACAATCTTATTATTACTCAGAATTAGCAGATGAGAAAAATGAGAGTCAAAGATGATAGATAGATTGTAGGCTAGTACCTGATAGTATTAGTCTTTAAACTCAGATTTACTTAATTTTGATTCCATTGCTTTTCAAAGAGAAAAACATATTTACGAAATCAGCATTTTCATGGTCTTTTTGACCAGTGATACTGTAGTTTCTGGTTTCAGCTATCTTGAGAGATGAACAAATGTGAACAAAGATACATTTAGTTGTTGCATCTGTAAGTGTATGAATGTAGAGATGTTTAATAAATAATAAAATTCAGAAAAAAACAATCCAAATTCTTCCTCTGCTTGTATAAGGCAGGTCTTCCCTTCCAATGCAGTCTTCCTTACTTGTATGACACATGGTGCCGCATGTAATTTTTTAAATCAATAAATCCACAGTTGTATTAAGAAATATTTTATTAACAAAACAGTAAATTCCACTTGCTTAGCATTTCCATTAATGGATAAATTGGCCTTGCAACAGAAAAACAGAAACAAAAACAAAAAAACAAAGAAAACCCCCTTAGATACCCAATCACACAAAACACTAGAAGGGTGGGGTCCTGTGGCCTTTCTCCGATGTCTTAGGAATTGACCACTTCACATGTTATTGAAGTATTTGTCTTGTTTTAAAAAGTTAACATATTATGTGGATACAAAAGAAGCATACTCAATCAGAAAAGTTACAGTCTAGAGATGTAATCAGGTTTATGCCAGGTAGCGTGAAATCCTCTATTAACTGCAAACTCTGCATGAATCCCGATACATTTGGTTTGAAAATAATGGGCATTTTATCCAAGTCATTTTCTCTCCCTAACTCATGGTTCTCTCTTTTCTTTCTCCATTTTCAGGAAAAAAAAATACCAAACTGCTTGACTTTGTGTAGGCCAATAACAGTAGAAATATTTTTACTGGTAATACATGCATATAAGATTATATCTTTGCATGTAATATTAAAATTTATTCTGGGAAGAAACATTGAAGGCAAACATCATGTTTCATAGATATACTGCTTGAAAATACCATTGTTTGATTTATTTTCTATCACATTTTAGAATCTTTCTAGATGAAAACTCATTCTGGTTTAAGACGTCAAATGGAAAAGCAACAAATTAAAAAAAATTTAATACGTGAATTAGTGGTTTTAAATTTCCCTTTTTATCTCACTGGCTTTCCCTGAGTAAGACTGAATGAGAAGGGGGGAAAAAAGACATGTGAATTCTTTGACCTGGCAAATTAAAACAAGATAAAAACCAAAAGCAGATGTAAAGGATATCAACTTTTAGTTTTACACCTTCTACTTTCTGGGTTATGAACAACTTAAGAGTCTTCATACACAACAATTCCTTGGCAACCAGACACGGGTGATTTGCTGTAAATTGTATGTACTTCTTAAGTGCTGTACATCTGAAATCCAGGCCACTTCCTGGATACTGTAGTCATCAACTAAAATATCACAGAGATGTTTTGTCTTTGTTGGTCAAAGCTAATTGTAAAGGTATTCATCTCTTCCATGAAAATTAATATCATTCTTTGAGAGGATGTTGGAGTAACGCAACCAACTTCTACTGAAGCATCACTTTGCAATCTAACAATCCATTTCATTTGCCTTACGTTCTCCTACTCACCATTTATTGCTAAGACATCATTGAAACAGTGTGCAAAAACAAGTGTATAATCTATTGTTTTCTACTATATGATATGTTAAACTAAAACTATATTTAATGATACATATGTAAAACCATAGTTAATGTTAAAACATAGTCAGTGATCAACAGATCGAGAGTGATGGTTTTAAGTGGGTAGTAATACAGAATCAGAAATTATTGAAAATACTTTCCTCGTTGAGAACGTGTTTACTTTCCAGAAATGTTGATCATGCACATCAGGTTCAGAGAATAGAGATATTATTTTATTAGAAACAAACTTTTCAATTGCAACAGCCAGAGTTAAGGTGTAGATTAACCAATTTTGCTTCCATAACCTGCCCACATAATGGTTCATATTCATGCAGCAGTATACTGGATGATATTCTATTTGATTAGAAAAGGTTGTATTTCATTAGCGACTAAAATCTTCTTGGGGATTCCTGGGAGCAAGATCTCGGTGAAGTGAATCCCTTCATTTGCCATCAGTACCTTGGCACAACTATCTTCCTTTCTGCTTTTCAATTGGTCAGAAAATATTTGCTACTATACGCATGTTTGGGTCTTCCATCATATCTGGTGGATTCGTGTGGGGATGTGTGTGTGTGTGTGTGTGTGTATGTGAAAGTATGTGGGAACGTGAGTACTTGGGGGCAAAAATAGTATAAGATATACTATATGTATACATTTTACCTTCTAATTCACACCTTTCATACAAATACTAAAACTTAATTGCAACAGAATGAAGGCTGTACATGTAAGAAAAAGGCTGAGTTTTTTTATATACATTCATACATATCTTTCTTAGAATAAACACTACACTGTAATTTTTAAAAAAAAAATTAAAGTAATTGTGGCAATTTATAATGGTGGCAAAAAAAAAAAAAAAAAAACAACCTGAAATCATTGTTGCTCTGATGTCATAAAACTCCCTCTACTTAGCAACACTTATAACATTGAATTTACCAAAAAATGGCTGGAGAGCAGAGATATATTTTGCATTTTCTATACAACAGGCTATAAAACGTCACTTATCACAGTCCAGAAAGCACACAGAGATGGATTTTATATAAACATATGTAATAACATAGTAAGCGTGCATGAAAATTTCCCAATGATTGCATCTATGCCCTCTTGTTTGTGTTTTGAAATTTTTTTGTGTGAAAATGTGCCTTATATTTCACATTTTTGAAAATAAGGCCTCCATACTTTTCTTTTCCTCTCTTAACAACCAGAAAGGGGCTTTTCGAATGTGTTACGACACAAGTCTTCAAAAAAGCCAGCACTTTGTTTCAAAGTTCCAAGTTCCAACCACCACTCCAGTTGCACCAGGCTGCAAACGCTTAAAGGTTTGCAGGTCGAGTCACCCAAAAGGACAGTCTTCTCCGGCCATCGGACTCACTGACTTCTCAGGGAAGCACTAGCACTTTGGCTAAATCCAGGATCATAGGTAGCTTCTTTTTTGTGTGTTCTGTTCTGTGTTGTTGTTTTGTGTTGTGCCTCGATGTTTAATACTCCTTTGCTTTATGAATGCGTGCGGCCATCACTGTCTTTCAGGAATGTTCCAGCAACATAAAGACAGGCAGAGTAAATGAAAACACTGTGAATGTTAGGGAATTGATTGGCCCCCGTTTTTATTTTTTTTTTCTTTTTTTGAGAAACAAGAGCATAAGATACTTGTTTTTATTTTTTAAAAAGTCTTTCCTTCCTGATTGCATTCCCTGTCTTCTTTTGTATGTGCTTCATAAAAAGGAAAGTAAATAAGTTTATATTATGTCTCAGATAAAATGAAGACTATTTCTATACAGGTGTCCACTGAAGATCTTGGGATCAGACGTAATACTCTTTATCCTTGTTTTTCTTATTTTTGTTGGCGCTTTTCGCACTGCTGGGTTGTTTCTCCTTTACAACTGCCCCGTTAGACTGTGCTGAGTTACTGATGTAGTTTCGACTCTCGTCCACATGGTATGAGCCTTCATCCCGGTTCCTGTACTTGTACATGGCATAGAGGAGGATGAGGATGCACAAGGCGGCAGCGGCTACTATCCCAACGACCATGCCCGTGGTGCTGCTGGACTCCCGGATCACTTCTGCCGAGCCTGGGTATGACTCTCTCCCTCCTGCTCGGGTTGGGTTGGCTATGGGAAAGAGGATGAGAACAAACACAGCGTGACTGTTGAGTTCACTGAATGTCAGAGAGCTACATTAATACTTAGGCCTAAGGGAAGAGGCCTACTGCTAAAGGAAACGTATTCTGCTGTCAAATGTGGTGATCCCCATGCCTCGTGGTCCCTATAACTAAGGAGTGCACTGAAAGGTTCGGGGAGAGATGTCTTACCACCTTTTCTTTCTCACACATCAATTGTGTTAACAGGGTCTTGTAACCTTAGACCCAAAGAAACTCCAATTAGCTCTAAAGGGTCACGTTGGTGGGGTAGGTGAAAAAACACAAATTAAACATGGCAAACAAAATCAAAACTACCCTATGCTACAGTATTAGAGGGAATCAATATGAGAATCAAATTGAGGCCGCTCTAAAACACTTAGGTCTAACTTAGAGAATCAGGACAATTGAATTTAAGATACTTTACTAATCAGCCTATCTTGTAATGAGTGTAGTATTGAACAATCATATTGTCCAGGCATTTAATATAGCCTACCTGGTATTTAAAGTATATTTTTCTTCCCACCTTTATGAACTAAAACAAAACTAATTTTCTTTTTTGTTCTTGTGGTTGTTGGAGATTTATTTTCTTGCCTAAGTACAAATGTATTTTATTTATTCACTGTAAGTGGCTGAGTGATCCCCAAAGCTAAACGTTAGAGGAGACAGTATAGTCTTTCTCAGTTGTAAATATCTTCTAGAATGGTTTTGGGCACAAACTCAGTACTATCCGATAAATATTGATATAAGACTAACTAGCCTCAATTTATTCCACTGACAAAACCTTCACCCAATCTTCCCAAAGTATAAAACAAAGGCTCTCAGATATAAGCAATGGATTACAGGGTACCTGGTCAGACCCCGAAATTCACCTTAGATATGAAAGAAAAGGCCTGAGATTTACCTAGTAGTTATGCTGTCAGATGCTCTTTTCCTCTACATACAAATCTTTTCTTCTTGATATATATATATATATATTTTTTGTTTTGTTTTGTTTTTGTTTTTTCCTGAGACATGGTCTTACTTCTTTGCCCCACTAGAGTATAGTGGTGTCATCACAGCTCACTGCAACCTCCCTCTCTTGGACTACAGGCATACACCACCATGCCTGGCTAATTTTTCTATTTTTTGTAGACATGGGGTCTCCCTCTTACTCAGGCTGTTCTCAAATGCCTGGCCTCAAACAATCCTCCTCCTTCAGCCTCCTAGCCACCACACCTAGCCAAAACTTTTCTCTTTGAAGAATAGGAACTGTAGGGAAACAAGATTCTATCCCATCTTGATCTTAGGCCATTTTCATCTGTGGATTGTGCTTCCTGTCTTTGCTAGAATCTCCATTCTCTCCCTTATCTTATAGAAAAATACTACTTTTCAGATTAACTGGATTAAAAACGCTATAACTTTAAAAACATTATTCCTCATAAATTATGTAAAATGAATTCAAAAAAATCTTAAGATTATATATGTGTTAGATTATGAATGTCTATGTGTGTACACATAAATACACACACCCTGGGAATTAAAAATACAGTAAGACTAAAATTGTGGGGTTTTTTAATTGCTATCAGACCTCATTTAGGAGTTTTTAACATTTCTACAATAGCTCCTGTTAATTACTCAAAATCACTTACCCACCATACAGCTCTATACTGCCTTGTCATTCCACTTTCAAATATCACCAAGCTTCTTCTGCCTAAAAGTGGATTTCTGCTGTCATTTCCATTTTCATCCCAGACTGAAGCCTTAACATGCAGTCACTTCCAGTCTCACAGCAGCAACATGCTATGATCTAGAGCTACCAAATGTAGCCGATGAAACCTTTTTAGGCTGAATCTGTCACTGCTTGTTTTACAAAAGCCCACGTAATGTTGCTGAATAAAAGGCCTTGACGTTGCTTCTGTGGCCGGGGTAGCAGGAAACAAAGACTATAATCCACTGTATTTGATTACAGGAAATTAATTTCCTCTTATGAAGAATAGAACCCACTGCGGTAACTCTGTCACTACCTGACAAACCAAAGGCGGCACTTTCTCCTTTAAATACAATCATCTTTGCCAAAGTGTGCCACTTAGCTCAGCTGCTAACTTGCACTCACTGACAACTTGCATTTTTGCAGACTGTGCTCTTAATACGGTGTCGCAAGCACTAAAAAAGAAACCGTATTTAAATATTACCTAAATCATTTGTTCCCACACGAGGGAATGTTTCATTTTAAATACATTTTCACAATTATCTCATTCTTCTGTCAAAAGGAAATATGGAGAATGGAGAAACAATTTTAACCATTTAGCTCATGATAGTAAAACTCAACAATTGTAATGGGAGTCACAGTTTATGTTCTCTATGCTAAGAATATGTATGTAAGGCAACACGGGGCATGACAGGATAAAGGAATATATGGGCGAAAGTTCTTCCAATTAGGACTCGGTATCATAAATGAACTATTTATTTTCATCTGCTCAAAATATTTCTGAAATGTCTTCAAAACAACTGTGACTACAGCACACAACAGATTTGTGTAAAACAAAAACAACATAACAAAGACCATAGAAATACCTCAATTTGTGGCATATATTTGATAAACATTTCCTGTTTAAGAAAAATACTTATCTTTTTTTTCAACACCAGACAAAATGTTACTTAAGTCACAGTAGACCCCAAAATATCTCTATGGAATCCCCATGTAAAAATTCTAGACCTTGTGTTTTTAAAGTAACCTGCCAAAAATAAAAACAAACCAAAACTAAAATCTAAATTCAAGAAACATTTTATCCTTTCTTCCTTATTCACACTTACATTTTAACAACCATCGCAAGTATCATTATAGATCTGCTTGAAATATATAGTTGCTTCCATATCTAACTAGTTAATATATTTTTTTTCTATTTAAGCTTCAAATCTGAAGGCCAGTGTATTTTTTCTTGACTTTAATTCTAAGATCAGATGTATCTGTGTATTAATGGGATATAAGAGCTACAGCAATTTAAATATTTTCAGGAATACCAAATGTTTCACTTTTTGTCACTAATGCTTTACTTAGATGAGCACTGATAAACCTAAAGAAATGACATATTAATATAAAGAAAAGTATAAATGACCATTAAGGTTAAATGCCTTCTTATTCAATTTATTCCAAAAGTTATTTTTTTAAAAAAAGAAATATAATTATCTCTTAGCCATTTATGACGATGCAAAAAGAAAAAGAGGAATTTAATCATAAAAATTCATAATGAATTTGTGTATTTCATGGAATTGAGAATTTTGGATTCCCTTAACATGCCGTAACTAACTAAAATGAGATCTTTTCAGAAGTAAAACAATCTACAATATAGTTTTTAACAATGCGAAAAAGTGAATGAATGACCTAAAATGTACTTTTATCTCTCTTCTCCTTCTTGGAGCATATGATGAAACACATCATAAACAGATGAGACGATAAAGAGGAGGAACTAATAAAGGAAGGCACAGCCTGTTAGCTGTAAGTCGTCAGGTGGTGAATGTGGAAAGTTAACTCGGATTCTCTGCGGATTCTCTGCATAACTAAGCGCTCGAGCCAGTTCATTATCCTGGGCCCAGCAGCACAAGGAGTCCAGATCAAAGGAGACTCAGCAGGACTGATGTTACCCTTCCAGTGAGGGGAGAACACTTTAATGGCAGCAGGAAGGCTTTTGACTTTTGTTGGTACTTTTGCTTCAGAAGCCTCTGATTTTACTAGCAAAGGACAAAGAACTGTCATACGGGTTAGGAAATCTTTCCTATTTATATTCCCTTCCTTCATATTCACCTAACCAAATGGTTATGGAAAAATACTTGGGTCTTATGCACTGATCATCAGCACTGGTAATCTCATGCACTGATAACCTTAAGCGGCAGCACTCAAACTATTTGGTACCAAGGACAGGTTTCATGGAAGACAATTTTTCTAAGGACAGGGGTTGGGGTTGGGGTTGGGAGCATGCTGTGTTGAAGGGGGATAGGACAGGAGGCAGAGCTCAGGTGGTGATGTAAGTGATGGGGGAAGGCTATTGACGGGAATCTTTTTGGCACCAAGAATAGGTTTCGTGGAAACTAATTTTTCCATGGGATAGGAGGTGAAGCTTGGGCAGTGATGCTGTACCACCGGGTTCCTAACAGGCCACAGACCACTATCTGTGGCCAGGTGTTGGGCACTTAACCTCATAGGACAAATGAAAAGTAGCTTTCAAGGCTTCCTCTCTTCTAACATTTGGCAGGATCTAAAGGTCTCTAGAAATGTTCCGCATGGTATGCTTTCGCCCACTAGATTTAGCAGGAATCTTTTATGCTAGCTCTACGAGTTTTTGTGTTTTTCCATTTTCTAATTAATATTGTGATTATTTAGGTAGGCATAAGCTTTCAAGTGTTAGAATGGTTATTAACATATTTCCAGATTATACTCTAAAATAATTTATTCATATGTGACAATTCATTGTGGAAAACGCACACTCAATGCAAAAAGGGCATATTCTGGTGTCTGGTCATATAGAAGGAGTAATGGATTCAACTGTTGTTCTGCAAAAAAAAAAAATTAAATCCTAAAAATTTTAACTTCTCCATAGGTTTGCTGAGATAATTATTTTACACTATCACAACTGGAAAGAACATTACCCTGACATGTGTTTTTCCTTCTATTTTGACAGCCTTTGGTACTGTATCTGTGAAAGAATATCAGATCACCAAATAAAAATTTAGATTCAGGTAATGCAATGGGACAAGCATGTTGAAGAGACACTTTAAATTTAGCACAGAGTGGAGAGGGCTGTTTGGGGCAGCCTTCCTGTCTTACCAGCCCCTTGGGCCCTCCAAACACTCCTCCACCCTTTTTTCTATTCTCCCTTCCACTTTTCCTCCCTCCTTGTTTCTCCCCGCTCCTCTCCCAGATCCGGAATTATCCACGGAGGTGGCCCTCAGAGAGCATAGCTCTCATGTCCCTCCCCATTCCCAGGGAAATGAAGG